CAAAAAAAAAAAAAAAGAATTGTAAAAGTATGTAGATAGATCCAGAAATAACAGGAATATGTAAGTATAAAAGCAAGAATAGATTTTTGGTTAATATGACCATAATATAACTATAACTAAATCCCACCAAAATGACAGTAGAAAAAAATGTGCAAAGTATAAACCCAACAGGGTGAAAATTCATAAGGACTAAGAGAATAGGAAAGAGCCTCAGAAATCCGAGGTCCAGAAACTGCTGGGAATGAGGGAGACAGAATTAACAACAGTAGATTTACTGGTACTTTCTATATAAAGTGTTTGAATCCAAAAGTTGTTCTCCCTTTCCTAAACAGTTGGAAAAATTCTATCTGTGTCTATCTTCCTAATCTTTGGTAGCCATGAGACTTTTTATCTGGTTAAAGACTTTGTACTCGGGGCCAGCAGGTAACACAGTGGTTAAGGATCTGGACTGCCACAGGGTCAACTGTGTTTTGAGACCCAGACACAGCAGCTTGAAACTCACACTGGACATGTGTGTGCATGCTCAAAAATTCCAAGAGGAGAATGAAGAAAAAGGAATTTAAGTGTGGCCATCCCCCTGGTGGGTGTTTTCTCACTTTCCCTCTGTCTCTTTCTATGTCTCTAGTGAGCACATGCACCCTATAGCAAAAATCTTTCATTAAAAAAAAAAAAAGACTCTGTACTCAAGAGTATGAGGGATTGAGAACAGGAGCTATAAGAATTAAATAACTGATTAAGTGAAATACAGCATATCTTGCAGTAGGACTCCTACTTTCCCTTGTCCACCATGACTCCAGAACATGAAGGCAAAGTGTATGTCTTTTAAGTATGAGGTTAGACTGGGTGATGTTTATTTTGTGGGAAACCAGTGTCCTAGAGAAAAGAACTTCTTATATTGGCACCTAAGGCTTGCCCCCTCCACCCCCAAAGGGCCTTTGCTACCAGATCATGTTATAAGAGAATTCATCAAAGCTAGGATCTTTGTCTCCATACACACAGCTTCCTATAAACTTTGTACTTCTTCACTTTTAAAAATTAATTGATAGGCAAAGATCACTACTCATTTAACAAACACTTCCAACGTGAAAGACTGAGAAAAATAAACCTGAAAAAGATAAAGTTATGGAAAGAAATTTTCTGAAAAATATCTAGTTAATACCCTCAGAAAAACAAGACAAAATATAACACCCACAGAATAAAAACAAGGTACTATAAAGGAGAAAATTTTAAACATAATAGATAAAAATCCAAAACTCAACAGGTGAGTTGCAAGGTAAAAATTTTAAAAATTGCCAGAGGAAGCATTACAAAAAGTGAAGCAACAGAAAACGAGTGGAAAAAGATAAGATCTTAAATAAGAATCAAGCAAGCATGCAAAACACAATCAGTAGTGAATGGGTCTGTAAACATGCCATTTATAACACAATAAAGGTCCCCCTTATGAATTTTCCTCTTGCTCAATATTGAACACCTACTATGTGAAAGCCTATGAGATGATCACAATTACTTTATAGGAAATAAGACATGTAAGTCCATGACGGACTACAATCTGAGTAATTTAAGTTAAAGGTCATAAAGGGATAATAAAGTAGAGCTATGTCGTTTCTGGTCTGAATGAAATTTGCAGAGCTGACCTTTAAAGCTTGGTAAGACTTCAAAGCCCGGAGACCTTGAAAGAAAGTATATTCCAGGTAGATGAAAAAGTCTGAGCAGAGGGGTAGAACTCATAAAATTCAGGACACAGTAATTAATCTATATTGACTAAAGCACAGAGCGCTTAGTCGGAGATCATTGTGGACAGGCTGTTAAGGCTATTGGGGAACCAAAGATGGTTCTATAATATAGGAGCTGTAAGGATAATGCTGTGAGGTTCTGAACAGAACAAGGATTATCTTCAGATTGTAAATTACTGTAGAACACTGGGCCAAGAGTTAGCCAACTTGCCCTTAAAAGCCAAAGATTACATAGCAGGTCACTACTTTCCCTATAAGAACCCCAGCTTCCTAAAATGTGAAAATCGGGTTAGAGATGAGTTATAACAAGTCTAAAATTCTTAGGAAATCACTGCAACTATTCAATTAGCTGATTGGTGAGATCAGAAAAATCGGGACGGTGACAAGCTAGGAAGATAGGTACAGAATAAAACCTTAAGGCAAAATATATATTAAGAAACATAACTGTATTACAGATGAATGTCCTGAAAACAGAAACATGTTGAAATTCAGAAGACTACCTGTAGACGATCAACATGAACTTTGACTCCTCCAATTATTCCTTTTTTAAAGGCTGCCAGCATATCTAATATGGGGTTGAACCGGCTACCTCTAAAAAATATAAACAGATAAACAAAATGGGCATATTAAAAATAGAATCAGCAATTAATAAACTGAGTGTCCTTTATAAATGCAATGTACTCTGCCACAAGCTAAGAGGAATATAAAAAAGTACAAGGAGGTCCTGCTTCCAAAGGGTTCACAGTACTAATGGCAGTGAAACACATACAATTTACATATTTTATCAACTTACCTTATATTGTCTTCCCGGATGAGAACAAGGAAAAGTGGACGTCCATGCATTTTCCAGTACTGCTTAATGAATTGCAGTGCATTCTATCAAAACATAATAATGAGGTAGGATATAATGGCACAATATCCGAGCTGATCAGGATACTTAACCATGACTGGCAATGAGCCAACAAAATTCATATATATCAAGATAGTTTACAATCAAATCCTGGATAATTTAGACTACCTAGGGGTAGAAATGTTCTGAAAGCAAATCTGGGTACGTACAAGTCAAGCTGGAAACCATTTTGATTTAAAACTTTGTTTTTAAAAGCAATTGCATCACACATATTTTAGGACTTTTTTTTTCCCCCCTCCCATTTTAGTCTAAAAAATACAGTTTCAAAACAGTCCCAGGGGAGAAAAAAGTCATCCCAGTATTACCATCTAAAAGATTAATTCTCACTCCAGATTACTATGGATTTATATTATAGCATGTAAAAGAGATTAGACTGAATCTCTACAGACCATCAGCAATGCAGAGAAAGTTATTTGTGTAACTAAATATGTATTGATCTATCAACTTATCATTGTCATCATTTTCATTGTATCAAAGACTTATGCAATACTTCATGTGCCCAGCACTATTTTGAGAGCTTTATCTGTCTTCACTCATTTAATCCTCAGAAAGGCCCTGTTATTATTCAATTTTACAGTTGAGAAATAGAGGCACAGAGGAGTTAAGTAACTTGCTCAACATACTGCTGATAAATGTTGGAGCCAAGATTTTAACAAAAGCAGTGTGGCTCCAGGTTTTATGCTCTGAACCAAGATTAGGAATAAGATTCTCTACTCTATAAGTAGAAAAGGGAGAGGAGAAGATTTTTAACTAATAGAATTATGAGTTACTTGAGATTTTGCTGGATATTCTTTGTAAGTAAAATTATTTTGTTAACTTAATTTTTGTTTAAAAAGAGATACACTATTACTGTCATATGAACATAGTTTTCAAAAACAGTTCTCCCCTTTGCTTTTATAAACTGTAGCTTTCATTCCAGTTGCAGAAAGGTATAAGAAGCAAATCATATAACTTTACATAAGTCATCTATTCTAATGCTACAAGCAATTTAAACTCTTTCTCCGAAGCTAAGCTGTATCATTTTACTTTCATTTTTTACATTTTGTTCACCTGCTATCACAGACACTCAATTTGAGAACACAGGATAAAAAAATCAGTGAAAACAAAGTTATCATATTCAATAAAAGGGTGTTCTGAAGCTACCTTTATGTCATCTATCAGCAGTAAAACATCTTGAGACATGTAGAAATCACTTAAGTCAAAGATGATTGGGTAACAAACCACAGTCTTTCCAAGAATGCGATAAATCTATAAGGAAAATTTTAAAAGATAAATAAATAAACAAAAACCATGCCAAAGGCTAAGGTACAGTGACATAAGTACTGACATAAGTACACTCCCACAAAATTAAAACTGATGCTTAATTTTGGGAAAGGGATAAATTAATAACTTGTACAACCCATGTAATATTAAGAAATTTAAAGTTTCTTGATTGAATCATCATATTATTACATTCAAAGTAGTTCATCTCTAATATGATGGAAAAAGCCTGTGTTTGAGTTAATATTGTTATAATCAGGTATTTTCCAAAGCTTAAGAAATAATATAGCAGTACGATGCCCACTCATTCCTAAAAGACTTCTATGATATGAGGTCAAATAAATAAGATTTATTTGCAGAAAATGATAATTCAGGTAATTAGTGCATAATGAAACATGATAATGGATGTAGGTCAAACATCATTTCAACATGTGGTATTAAAACCTGAACACTACACTTTGAGGAAATTTCATAAGTACCTTTGATGTACCGAGGCAGCCAATGGGCCTATCTGGCCTTCCGGAGAGTCCTAACTTTTCATTGATACCCAGGTAGAAATAAGCCTGTAAGACATAAGTTTGTAGACTGTAGTAGGGCAAGAATCCATACTTCTCATTTTTCATTGTTTTCTTTGGCCCTGGCTATTGCTCTATTCATTTCCAATCTTTATGGAAAAAAAAGGAGGCCAAGAAAATCTTATTGCAAAACTTGCAGAAAAATAAGCTAGCCAAGACACCAACTTAGATTTTGGGTCACTGAGAGATGTGAGAACAAAATTTTCACAGATTCTTTCAGTTGGATCCTAAAATTTGATATTCTTATGTTGTCATGAATTCATAAACACAAAGAAACAAGTGCTCAAGTGCTTCCTGTATTATTTCAAAATCTAGCCATTTATAGTTTAAAAAAACCAGGCCCTACATCCCCTAGTAGATTTCTACCTTTAAGTTTCCCAACAAAATGGACACATCTTTATTGTCTAGAACTTATTTTTGCACTTGGTGAAAGTAAGAAATCTAACCTAACATTTCCTAAACCATCTGTGTATATACAATCTATGGATTATGATTTAAACTGATCCCCAGTAACAACTTTATCATATGCAAAATTAATGTCATTACCAGAGCTCTCTGTTCACTCTCCTATCGTGCACACATCTGTCAGAGTTAGTTATCTCTGCATCTCTTCCTCCTTTTGAATTGTATGTTCCCATGGCATAGTGTCCCCTAAGCTGGCACTGTGCCTAGCAGTAGCTGGTGCTTGAGAACTACTTGATAAATCAATGAGGGAGCAATTGAACGTCCTCCTGAGCCACATGTGCTGTGAATATTGATTCTGAAATATCAGTGGTCTTAGACAAAGTCAACTAGTCAGGAAAAGCCCTCTATAAATATGATATTGTATAGTTGCTCTGAAACTATAGCACATAACACTAGATGGAGTCCCCTTACCCTAAAATATTTTCAATTTTTCAGAAATAAGTGTATGTCAAAACAACTTTAGATTTCTTCTTTTAGACAAGTGGTTGCATCAATCAACCATGCATAAGTTAAAATGTAGATAGGTTTCCTTTAAATACTACTTTTTTTTTATTACAGTGAAAAGACTCTCCTTAATTTTCTGAACCATGGTACAGAAGGTTAGTGACAATGAAGTAGACAGACTTGGAATGCTCCTTTCACTCCAGGGTGAAGACAATGGTGTCCCCATGGTGTATGCATTCACACTGTTTAATCAACTACAATACATGGTAGTGACCAAATTACTTGCAAATACAGAAGGATTCCTTACTAGGTGTGCACTGTACTCAGATCCCCATGAAGCAAATCACACCACAGTCACCACAGATGAACATTAACCACCCATGATAAAAGCCCTGCTCTTAGCTGTCTGTCCTCATATCTTCTTCAGTGGGTTGAAAGAGGATGCCGCTTTTTGGAAGAAAGGATTAGCTGTTGGTACAAGAATATGTACATCAACTGAAACGTAAGGAGACTTTTTGGGGGGGGGTAAGAGAGAAGGCTGGGGAGGTGAGAGGTAAGGGAGGAAAAGACAGAGAGAGAGATTTTCAACAGTCATGCCATGCCAAGGTCCTTCTGTTCCAGCCTCATAGTCATCCGGGACCACAGATGCATGCCACCAACTAGCCTGTTAGGTTGGACTGGGAATCAAACCTGCACCACCCATGTGGCTTTAGCCACCACACTGAGGCACCCTCCCATTTGTGTTGCTACAGCTGGGTGCATCACTACTTTTAAAAGGCAGACTTGCAAGGAGCAGTATGCCAGGCAATATATTTTAGAAGATGAATCCCAAAGAGGAGCTACTTTGGAACACAGAGGCTGCTGCCAAAATTAAAGAACAATATTCCATTTCAACACAGACATAGGGAAACTGGGCTCCAGGTCACAAATCTGTCTTTTTAGTCATATCACAAACCAAAATTGTAAATTATTTGTTAATGCCATCTTTAAAGTAAGGAAGTATAAAATAAGTCAGGAGTTGCTGTAAATCTTCATTTAATCTGTAACAGAAGGTTCTTATTGCCTTTGTGATTCTAATGCTTTGTACAAACATGTATTATTATTGTTATCAAAGTTGACTATAACTAACTCCTTTTTCTGTTATATCACTGGACTCAGAGGCCACTGAGAACAGGAACAAGGTCATTTAATCTGTGTGTCCCAACATAGAGATCTGAATATAGCATGTGTTTGCTGCTAAATAAATATAGTGCCACACTCAAGTCATTTTTTGGCCATAGTGGCCTTCTCAATCTTCACTGCATGTTGTCAGGTAGAGTACACATTCATCTACCATTAAAAAAAAAAAGTTGCTAGCAGGACTTGAAAACAAATAGATTTGGGTTAATTTGCTTTAAAATTATGTTTATCAAAGGTTGTTCTCTAGAGTTTTCAGTGAGAGACCATAAAAGTGTATCAACAGAAACATGCTTTCCCTAAGTTACAAGTGAAAGGGCCTTATGATTGCGACTTGCTGTCCCTCTGTTTCCATGTTGCCTCTTCTTTCCCTCTAGATCCTGAGTACCCTCTTGGTCTAATTTATCTATACTCCTCCATCACTAAAAATAAACAAACAAAAAACTATGATTTATTTACATCTTTGTGTGATCTTTCTTTCTTTCTTTTTTCTTGTTTTAAGGTTTTTGCCATAAGGTGTTTGTGCTCACCATAGACAGAGAGAAGGAAAGTGAGAAATCACCCTGGGGGGGGGGGAATGACCATGCCACAATCCCTTCTCCATTCTTCTCTTGGGATTTAGGGTATGCATGCATGCATGCTTGGTGTGCTTTTCAAGCCTACAGATCCAACACCGAATCACTGTTGGCCATGTGGGAGCCCAGCACCTTAACCACCACATCACCTTCTCACCTTGTTGGTGTGATTTTAAAGACTTACCTACTCTAGGGATTTTTGCATTCTTACCCTTATCTGTCTACCGTGTGCAGAGAGTACTTTAAATTTGTTAGAGGAGGTTTAAGGACATAAGAGATCATCCTCTTGGTGACCTGACACCAGGTTCTGGTTTGTGTGGTATTTGAGTAAGGTCCAGTCTGATAAGTGGCAACTATGGGATCCTGAATTTTCCAATGTAAAGTGTACCTCTCTCCTATAAGCATTTATTCTCTGGTATACCATTAGAACTTTCACTACAATCATTTAAATCACCCTAATCAACCTAACCTTGATCCCTTGAAAAATGTTGTTATAAAAATTTCTGCTAAACACTGGGGGGAGTTCATTCCTGTATTGTTTTAATATAATTACCAAATAAAAATGGCATTTTAAAAAAAGAATTATTTTATTTAACTTTATTTGTCCATTTATTTATTTTAACTTGACCAGAGAGTGATAGTGTGAGAGAGAAAGAGAGAGTGAGAGAGTGAGAGAGAGAGAGCAAGTGAGCATGAGAAAGCAAGCCACCACATCTGGGACTCGAACCGTGGTTGGTCATGTGGGAGTCCAGCGCTCTTAACCACTGTGCCACCTGCTGGTCCCCAAAATGGCATTTTAAAATAACTAACAGTAATCAACCATTTCTTTTATGAGCAAGGATTTGTATAAATACAGTCACTTCTGGGTCCATCTGCAAAGCAGTACGTGCAAAAGTCCTCAAAAATCACCTTTTTATCCCATCCCAAATGGGTATAAAACTACAACAAAGATAAACTCTGATACTTCTTTGAATTACCTTGAGACCCAGCAAACCAAAGAGATAAGAATTACTTCAGACTTCAAATAGTAAGGGAAGTTGTGGTTACCAAAAAAATATTTAGGTATGATAATTTTTTTTTAAGCGGATAATAAAATAGCAATGAATCAAATCAAAATAAAAAGGAAAATTCTACACGTAGATACTAAAATTTAGACTAGCATATACTCATACAAACAAACACACAAAATATAAGATTTTTTTTTCTATGTCTGACAAAGTGGGCTTATTTCAGAATTGAATTTTAACTATGTGACTTGCCTGTAAACTAAGTCCAACCATCACGCTCTACTACCTCTACGAAGAAAAAAGAGGCACAATCACTTACTTTCACAAGCTCCTGCTGAGGCCATATCTGAATGGGTTCAACCTGTTGAGGAGTTTGAGTTTGAATACCGTATGTGTTGAGAAAAACTTGAAGGCTAAGAAGTATAGGGAAGAAAGAGAGACATTTTTAGATGATACATTTTCAGTTTAGGAAATGGAGAAGGATAGAAAGGAACACACGAGACTAACTTGGAGTACGTTATTAAGCTGTTATTATCAGCAATATGCCATCTGCACTGCAGTCTAGAGGCTCTCTTGGATTCCTCACAAAGCATCAGATGGGAGGTCTGGCAAGGAGGGTGAGCACTGATTTTAGGAACCTCCGTAATGTGTGGGCACTCATTTCTCAAAACTATACCCCAGGCAACACTGGCACTGGGTCACAGTCTTTAATATTCACATTGACTAAAGCAAATTTATTTTTAAAGATGAAAAGAATGTTGCGTTGGCACTTAAAGTGACACTAATGTTATCCTTGAAATCTTGTCAAGGGATCTATGAAATTTACCTCTACTGCCATACTCAATATTGTAAGCACCAAGCAATCGCCTCCCCCCTCCCCAAACAAATACACAAACACACCACTCATCTGTGTTTCCTACCGTTGGCTTTCTGCTACAAGTGCTACATGAACTACCAAGTCATTCTCCAGTGGGCCCTGTAATACAGAACAAGAGAAGGGAAAAACGTTTTAAAAGATCTGGTCATCATCAGCTACAATGAGAATCAAGGACAAAATTAACCATCTCCATGCAGTTCATTAAAATGATGGACACGAGCTGGCTCTAAGCAGCCGCCTTTCCTTCCTTACTTGCCACTGCCTACTAATCAATTTGATGATGTAGACAGAGTAATGGAACACTAAGGAATGGAAAGTCATAAATCTCATCACTACCAGAGGGCTAGCCTGTCAGGGCTATTTTGAATGATGCATAAGAGTAGTCTGCAGATGGAGAGTCATTTTCCATCATTAAACTCTGAAGAAAAGAGGAGGAACTAAAAATAAAAACCCAATTTATGTATTCTTTGTTTGAAAAAGAATGATTGTGAGTTAAAAGCGTTCATTTGACATCTTAACCACACATAGGGTTATTCCCTTTCTCGTTAGTTAATTTTCCTTTGGCACTTTATGCATCAAAATAGCTTTCTTCTAAAATATAGTTCCTATGGTAGGGAATGAACTACCCCGTTGACTAAACAATTAACATTATGTTCATTAAATACAAGCTGTTACACTTAATCGTTCTAATCAAAGTCAGTGTTAGATATTTGCTACTCTTTTGTGCGGGAAAGTCACTATAACATGTATTATACATTGTTAAAATGGGCCAGATTTGGGGACCTGTATATAATTAACAGAACATTAAGAAGTACCAATAAATTATAGTATTAGGGAGCACTGAAATCACTGATTGAATAGAACTCCTTTATAGTAATGAATACAACATTCCCAATAGTATGCTGTAAAATGTTTGATTTACCATCAGTCAGTTTCTCTCTATGGTATTCAATATGCCACTAGAATTTATGTCTGACGGAAGACAAGAAACACCAGAATACATATATCAGCAGTAAATATCATACAATCAAAAGGATGGTTCCCAGAACCATCGTGAAAATGCCATTTCAGGCAGACTTGCATGTGATCTAAATGAATGTATAAGAGAAAATATGATGTAACACCCCAACAAACATAAATACATATTAAACATGTTATAAATTCTATTTTTATATGACAAAGGCCTTACAATGAAATGTTTCTCAAAGGGGTGTGAAGAAATTATTTACAATCTCATGGGGATTTTTAATAACAAATGAAAAAATTAAGCCTTATTTCCCTTGGACAAGATCTACTATTCATCAAAAGGAGAAGCAACCTTAGAATGGACCACCATCTCCAAACTTCAGGGTAAATATGGGATTCTTAAATAAAGAGCAAGTGTGAATATACACTAGATGATATTTAAACAACAACAAATAAAGCAGTTTACAGATCCTAATTGACATGTTGGTGTCTTTTTTAATCACAGGCCTGTTTAGGATAATATTCTTTCCATTTATATGACAGAGTACTTAGATCTAAAAATGGCCACTACACATGTTGAATCATAGTGACATCTGGTAGGGAGATTATTAGATGACTAAAGAATTCTTTCATTGTAAAAACTCAGCATTTCAGAAAGTTATGATTCACAAACCATCTAACATGATGAATTTGGACCTTCAACTCAGTCCAAGAAGATCTCTCACGTCATTCTTCACTCAGAAAGACTTCAGAATGGGCAGTCCCACCCAAAAACTTCTCTTCCTTTTATTGCTAAAGTTGAACCATCTTTCCTCTGCTTTGACAATTTTGTTTCTTTCTTTTTTTACTTGCCAGAGGACATATACATATGTGTGTACACATATAAACAGAGATGTGCATGGGACAGAAAGCACCCCCCCAATGGGGTGTAAACATGCCACTATCCTTTTTCCTCCATTTCTCCTTCCCATTTTGGGCACACACACACATGTGCACCTGGTATGTTTTTTGAGCTGCAGCCCCTGGGATTCAGAATGCAGTTGGCTACACGGGGCCCAGTTCCCTTCAACACTGCACTAAGGGGTCAGATAGCTTTTGTCCCTTTTCTTCAAACCACTGGCATTGTTGCCTAAAACTGTTCTCATCTATTCTTTTATTAATGATGGAAAATACCCACGTCTGAGTAATTTAAAAGAAGAGAGGTTTATTCAGCTCATGGTTTGGAGGTCTAAAGTCTGTGAGGCACATCTGGTGACTTTTCCTTTTAGTGGAGTTCCTAGGTTATACAGAATGTCACATAAGAAAATAAGAGCACACGTCACCATGTGTTCACGTGTGTCTCCTGGTCTCATTTGCTCTCCTTATAAATCCACCAAGAGTCAATCATGGTACCATCTTAGTCACATAATTACTCCTGAAGACCTCACCTTTTGATATGATGAAAGTATTACTTCCTTTAAATACTTGCACAACCAAATCACGACACATGAATTTGGGTAGGAAAAACTCACACCATAGCAGGAAAGCATGAGGCCTTCCTGATAATCTTCTAATAGTACTTAATACCCTCTTTTCTGAACACAATTTTCCTTGACAATATTGCAATATTTCCTGCTTCTAGTTCACAAAGTGCACACACACACACACACACACACACACAAATACACATGCATAGTACATATTCAAGCACCATATGGTACCAGCATGCTCCATTTTATATCCATTCATTCACTTGTTTATTTGATGAGTAACACACTAATATAAAAGGCTTCATCTTAGGCTCTGATGTTACAAGATAAATATTATTCAGTATCACTCTTTGAGGAGTTCAGTTTCTGTGGGAAAGATGGGTAACAGATGTTTTCACGTGTGTTTATTATCACACAAATATATTTCAGTAATTATATATTTCTAAAATTTTCTACAGGGCATATGTGCTCACTAGACAAAGAGAAAAAGAGGAAATATGAGAAAGCACCGTTGGGGTGATGACCAGCAGGAACCGTTGGGGGGATGACCAGCAGGACTCCCTTCTCTTTCATTATCCTCTTAGGATTGGGGGCATGCACGCACATGCACCCAGCAAGCTGCAAAGTCCAGGATTCAAACCCCACAGTCAGCCACGTGGAATCCAATCACCTTAACCAACATGCCCCTGGCTGGCCCTTCACTGGTGTTTTTCTTTGGCAGATCTACCTCACTAGAAAATATGATGGCAGGTTATTACATTATATAGATGTACCATACTTAAAAGAATGCTTATTTTGATATACATTGAGGTGGTTTCTAATTTTTCACTTCTATAAAGAATATAATAATTGTTCCTGTCCCAAAGAATTACTGAAGATTTAGAGAAAACAAAGTGCTGAGCACAGTATTTGACACATACAACACTCAATAAAGGGCACTGGTTCTTGCTGCAATGTGATAATTATTTCACACCTACCCTTGGACAGCTGCTCCTCTCTTCTTTGCAGAGATATGCTATTATACATATGTCACTCTAGATCCCATTGGTTTTCTACCATTTGATTCCTCTTTTTGTATGCTTAGTTCTTTCCAGAGGATTCCAAATATCTTTTTTTTCTTCTTTTTTTAAAGAGAGATCTTAGCTATAGGGTCCATGTGCTCACTGGAGAGACAGAGAGACAGAAAGCAAGAAATCACCCCCTGGGTTGATGGCCACACTGCAGTCCCTTCTCATCCATTCTCCTTTTAAGACTTTGGGCACGCATGCACACATGCCCAGTGTGTTTTAAGCCCCTGGGTCAGGGACTCAAACCACGGTCAACTAGGTGGAACTCCATCAGCATAACCTCTATACCATCTGCTGGTTCCCTATACATCTTTTAAAAGAAAACCAGGTGACTTACCACCTTCCTTAATATTGTGGCCTAAATATTTGTAACCCCTAAAACTCATAGGCAGAAATTTTAACCTACAAGGAGATGGAATGAGGAGGGGGATGGGATTAGTGCACTTATAAGAAATGCCTGAGAGGGACCAGCAGATGGCATAATGGTTACCTAACTGGATTACCATGTAGTCAACTGCAGTTCAAGTCCTGAACCTGGCAATTTAAAACACAATGGGCACATGTGCATGCATGCCCAAAATCCCAAGAGGAGAATAGAGGAGAAGGGACTGCAGCATGGTTATCCCCCCTGGGGAAGTGATTTCTCACTTTCCGCCTCTCTGTCTCTCCAGTGAGCATATATGCCCTATAGCAAAAATCTCTCAAAACAAACATTTTTCAAAGACCTGAAAGAAACCCCTTATCCCATCCACCATATGGGAATACAGAGAAGGCACTATGAACCATCCACACCAGATATCTGTCAGCACCTTGATATTAGACTTTCCAAAAGCTTTCTAAGAACTGTGAGAAATAAATTTCTGTTGTTCATAAGCCACCCATGTTTATGGTATTGAGTCATATTTTTCTATGCAAAAGTACATCATGACTTTTCCAATGATCCAATATTTTGTTATAGTAGCCAGAATGGACTAAGACACTTAATCACTACCCACTTATATTTCTCAAAAATAAGCTATGGGGACTAGCAGGTGGCATGGTGGTTAAGGTGTTGGACTCCCACGTGGCCAAAGAAGTTCAAGTCCCAGACTTGGTGGCTTGTTTTCTCACTTTCTCTCTGTCACTCACTCTCTCTCTGGTTAAATACAATAATAATAACAATGAATGAAATAAAATAATTAAAAAAATAAGACTATCACTATTTCCTTATCTTTCCTGCCTTTGCAACTCTGCCTTCTATTCCAACTTGCCTTTACAGATAGGTTATCCTCACACGTAAGTCCTTGATCATATATTCATTCTACTTCTCTTTCTTTCTCTCTCAAATCTCATTCATACAGGTAGCTTTAGATTATTACTTTTAAGTAGTTTATTTCATGTTTATATTACTAGTTTTGACCTTTCTTTTGAATTCCAGTCCCCCCCCTTTTTAAAATTAATTTTGGATATTTTTTCTTTTTCCCCCCCAAAAATTAATAGTTCTAAACTACTCAACTCCTTATCAACCCCACACTCACCCCAAAGAGGCTCTTATTTCTTATGCTTCATTTAATGGAGAACGTCAGAATCATCTTTGATTTCTTTCTCTCTTTTTTTT